CACCCCTAAATTTCATACGATATAATATATGTGTATGTATATTTATTTAAAAATATGTGTATATATATATATATAACAACCAGATACCCTGACAACACCTGCGATCTTGACCACGGCCAAACTTCAGAACAGACCCCATAATCTTAAGGAGCTGGACCCAAATCCCAAAACCTTGTCAGCCTGGACACTAAACCTTGAACCTCAAATCAAAAACCCTGAAAACCTCAAGTCCTAAATCCTGAACCTCAAGTCCTAAACCCTGAAACACAAGTCCATATCCCAAGCCCGGAGAAGAGTTAGGATTGAGGGGGTTAAGGTGCTTCTACATATTATCTAGTGTTTAGGGTCTAGGATTTGGGATTTGTATATAGTGCACACATGGTGTTTAAAGAGGGTTTGAGCCTCTAGGCTCTAGGGTTGAAGTTCAGGTTTTGGGGTTGTTCTGGCGCTTTTTAGACTTATATACTTAAACCCATGCAAGTTCGCACAAGCAGACAAACCCGAACACCTACACGGAGACACACACACAAGCACACCCCACACCCCACACACACACCCCACAACACACACACACACACACACACCTAGCTACACATACCTGTGTATGTACATCTACAGTAGAAGCTGGACACAGCCTTGGTTTTTTCACGTCTGGACCCCTCGGTGAACATATGCTCCATGCTCGGACACTCACAATTGCACATGCTATAGGCATGACAGGAGTGCACAGACACTTACCCGGATTCGTGTGCCTCTGTGATTCACAGAGACAGAAACAAAAGCTTCAGACAAGCAGCCAAAACTGCACTCACGAGCAAAGTGTGCATACTGCTATACTTGATCTGCTTCTTTGTGCGGGCCACAAAAGATACATACACCACACCATTGCTGTCTCTAAGCCTGCTCCTCGTCATACTTCTTGGCTGCCTCGGCATGAGCAGCTCGAGCGATCTTCCTGGCCTCATCTGCGGATTTGCCTGCCTTCTCGGCAGCCAAGCGACTCTTATGATAGGCCTTGCTGAGGACACGTGCCCTTTCCGTGGTTTTGTACTTCCGCTCCTTCGGGACTTCTTTGGCATCCTCACCATTCTCGGAATCGGGGGGGTCATTGGGGCCCGGCTGCACAATCTCGGCATCATCTGGCACCTCTGGCACCTCCGGATCATCCTTCTTGCCGTGCTTGCCCTTCCCAACCTTTGCGGCCTTTGGTGCCGAAGTCTCTTTGTGCTCCACACTTCGCTTGGCAGTCTTGGGGTCCTCCGGCTTCGTGCTCGTCTTCGGGCTTGTGGCTTTCGCCTTGCCCTTCGCCTTTGCCTTGGGCTTTTTTGGCTGCTTCGGCTTCAGCTTGATCTCGGCAGGGGCCTTCTGCTGGGCTGCTTCCAGCATCAACTTCTCTCCCTTATCGATAGCCATCTTGTTCAACGTGTCCGTGAAGCTCAAAGCTTTCAAAGGGGAGGCACCGTCTGCCGCCGACCCTGGCTCATGTGAGCTCAAAGATGACAAGGAATCCCTTTGCTGCAAGACTCTGGTAAACACTTTGCCAGATTCCAGAAAATCCGGGACACTCGTCGAAGGGCTGCTCTTGATGCTCGAGCTGCTCACGGTGCGAGCAGGAGGAGTGCTCAAAACCAAAGCCGTTGAGGCTGGAGCTGAGGACGATGATGGGGGTGCCTCTACCCGCTCCTCATCACCCATGTCGCCAGGAACGACCACCACCAGCTGCAAGAGATCGTTGAGGATCTCTTGTTGTGCAGAGTCCGCCTTTTTGAAGCATCGCTGCTTAAGAAGCTCACTCATCTTGAGACCGCGAAGGTGATTTAATCCGACTCTGATTTGCTCGTCCATCGTGTCGATGAAGTCAGCATCGGACTGCCGGGTCATGTTCACTTTCTTGCTCTCGATCAGTCGAGTCACTGCTGTGCGATTCTTTTTACCGGAAATGGTCGCATTGGGAGCCAAGCGAAGCAGAGACTTCCAAAGCGAGGCCGACTTGCTCAAAAAGACCGGACAAGGAGCACTCTTCCAGGAGTAGCCGCTGGGACCTTCGAGCAGCTTTGCAAGGTTGTCGTCCCCCTTCTCTTTCAAGAACTCGTCCAAGCACTTCTTAAGATCGCCCACACCCACAGCGGGGTCCGCCACCGAACGAAAACGAACTGCTGCATTCTTCAGCAGCATGGCAAAGCACGACGAAAAGCTACAGCTACAGATCCAAGTTGAGTCCATACATACATAAACATGCTCACTTACAGACATGACATGTACTGCCCCACACAGTAAGCTGACCATATATACCCATTACATGATACACTGATACACAAGTTCTGATCCGCACTCATGCACAGACACACACTCGTGAGTTTCAACTTCAAAACACTTGAAACGATCGGCCGGAAGAATGCACACAACACTCACATACATACATACATACATACATACATACACACACACCCCTCTCTCAAGGTAAGACTCTCGTTCTCTCAAGGAAGACACAGAAAACACATCTTTTTTCTCTCTCAAGGTAGACCCCACGTCTTTTTTCTCTCTCAAGGTAGAACCCTTTCGCTTCTCCCTCAAGGTAGCTCTTCCAGGGTGTAGAGGTTCTATGAGTTTGGGTTTGAAGGCCTCAAGGGTTGAAGGGTTTACAACAAGTTCAAGGTTTTTATCAGGTTATGTATGGCCTGTAAGGGTTCATTCTTTGGGAGGTCCGGACTTTTGCTATCTAAGGGTTTCACAGGTTTATCTAGAGGTTTAGTAGGTTGTGTTGTTGTGTTGTTGTGCTTTGTGTGTATGTGCCGTTATGTTCGGTGTGGTTGCTTTGAGTGTGTGTTGTATCTCGTCCGTGTGTGTGTGTGTGTGTCTGTGTGTGTGTGTGTGTGTGTGTGTCTGTGTCGCCTGTGTTGTGATATGTGTGGGTGTGTGATTTCTGTATTGTTTGTTGTGTGCTTGTGTGTCTGTTGGATTGTCGGTGTGATATATATATATATATATACACATGTATATATGTTTGTTGTTTGTGTGTGTGTTGCGGAAGATGTGTGCAGGTGGGTTCGTATATGTGTCGGTCTGCCATGTACACTTGAATTGTTTTTTGCATGTAAGTACCCATATTCGTTGCCAGAAATAATGCAAAAACATGAAGAGCAGTTTAGTGGAAGTTTTGATTTCGGCCCCTTGAAACTGCCACTCAGGGTGAAGCAGTTTGGAAGCAGTTTCAGAAGCAGTTTAGAGGAAACTTCCACCAAACTTCCTCTAGCAGTTTTGCACCGAGTTTACTTCATAGTTAAAATTTTTGCTTCGCAAAGTCACTTTGACGCCGCGCAAATTAACTATTTTCTACGCCCGGTTTTAACTTCGAAGTCAAAGTCAAAATGAACCGAAGTAAAAATTTTTACTATTGACTATTTCCTGCTTTTTTGACTTCGCCGGTCTATTGGGTAATTAGGGAATCCTCGCGCATAAATCTGGACACGTACCAGTATGCGCTAAGGCTGGGAATCACATGTTCGAGGATTTAACTGGCGCCTAAGCCAGAAAAGCCATCCCCGAGCACATGCAAAATCAAAACAAGACAGAGCCAACGTCAAAGCTAAAGCAGCACTCCTGCAGACCTTCGGGCTTTGCCAAAGAAGGCCACAGACCTGGCTGATTCAAAGCGCCTGGTATCCCTTGCGGGCTACCAAAAAAAAAACCTCCGAGAACAGAACCCTGGAGCAGAAATCCACGACTACAGTAGTGACTGGTGGTGTGCTCTCAGGGCAACAAACGGAAGAGCAGGACACGATCACTCTAAAACGGAAGGTATTCCTCCAAACCGGGCTCCTGAGAAGCCATCCAAACCGCCGGAGCCCTCATCGCGGCCACAAAATGCGCACAGTGACAGCGTTTACACGCACTGGGCAGCGGAAAAGGTAACCAACTGTCCAAACACAAAAATAGCAAGGGTGAGTGCAAAATCATGTCCAAGGAGGCGAGCGGTGCAGCTGCGGTTCCGCGCAGTTCCGCTCAAAATGCAGACTCGCAGGGTGTGGCTAGGGTCATATTCCACATTCCAGCCGGCAGCCCTACTCGGCTAAACAGACAGCAAGCAATACCTTGGCAGGTTCGTTCTTACTGCTCTGTAAATTTGAATTACCCCTCATCAGCATTTGACGCCGGAAACTAAGCAATCTCGGAACTCCGTCACGTAGCAGCTGCTGTTCCAGGGTGACCGTCAGGATCTTGACAAAGATCTGCATGCCGCTTCGCAAGTGCGGCGTCAAATGAAGGCCGATTCCTTCTGCAGGTTGTAATCCGAAAGAGTACGGCCGCACTCAAACTGACTGCCAGCAAAGATCAGGTGCTGCTGGTCGGGCGGGATGCCTGCCTCATCTTGGGACTGCGCCTTGACAGTGTCGAACGTGCCACTGGCCTCAACGTCCAAGGTGAGCGTCAGGATCTTGACAAAGATCTGCATGCCGCCTCGCAACTGCGGCACCAAGTGAAGGGTCGATTCCTTCTGCAGGTGGTAATCCGAAAAAGTACGGCCGTCCTCCAATTGCTTGCCAGCAAAGATCAGGTGCTGCTGGCCGGGCGATGCCTGCCTTATCTTGGGACTGAGCCTTGACATTGTCGAACGTGCGGCTGGCATCAACGTCCAACGTGATCGTCTTGTCTGTCAGGGTCTTGACAAAGATCTGCATGCCGCCTCGCAAGCGCGGCACCAGATGAAGGCGTGCCCTCCATGGGCACTGGGGCTAACGATAGTTCCGCGCTGCTGCGGCCATTCGAGCCCTGAATGATTGCAGTCAGCTAAATCTCCCTGAACCCTGACATGGTCATAAATAATTACTCTCAGCCTTAAGATTGACACAGACCATCCCGTCCCGACTCAGAAACCCAATACCCTGCTTGCAACCCAAACTCTTAGCATTCAGAATCTGCCTAGCCTAGACCAGAAGCACTGAACCCCTAAATCCTGAATCCGAGTCTCGACTGTGAAGTGGGAAGCCGTCTCTTCACAGGCTAGAGGACATGGCCGTCCGGGAGCTGGACGTGGATGTGGCTCGATTACAGCATGTTGGAGGATTCAAAAATGCGCTTTTCTAGGGGTTTAGGATTTGGAGCATTGAGGGATCGGGGCTTCCGGTTTATCGTTCAGGGTTTGGAGTTTAGGAGAGGCCCCTAATTGCGAGGTTTCAATTTCAATTCCTAAACTTCTATATCCCTTTAATTACAGAATCCTCATCGAACCTTCAGAGAATCAATCCTTACGCAAACTCAAATAGTTCTCAATAACCCTAAACCCTCAACCCTAAACCAAAAAAGCCCAAGCCCTAATTATTCACTCCAAATCATAGGAACTCAGGTGATCTCTTGCTGTGCTGGCCTTCGGGCTTGCGAAGCTGCGGCTCAGTGGCCACAGGCCCTCTGGCTCCTGCGCCCCGGCGAACTTTCAGGTTTAGGCTTAAGAATATACCTGTGTGGGGCTCCTTAGTCCCCAAGCCCTAAGAAGGACCAAGGTAGGTTTGTTTTTCGGATCCTGGTAAATCCTAAACATACAGTGTGGGAGCAGTCTTAGGTTTCCTGAGCTGGACACTGGAGTGCCCAATGTAGTTCATCTTGCGGGTGGTCAAGACCCCATTGTCCTCCAACAAGAACTTTGAGAACATGAGTTGTGAAGGGTCTCGAAATAAATCCTCAGAAAGGAAGTCGAAGGAGCCAGTGTAGCCAGCGCAAAAGGGCAGACAGTGGTAGGTGAGGTCTTGGACCCTCGACCTTAAAACCGTACAAACCGTGAACCCTAAACTCCTAAATCCTGCCAGAAAGTTGGAATATGATTATCCTAACTCTTCTATGGTAAATTATAGGGCATCCTACCATGAAACCATATTCCAACTTCCTGGAGTTCCCTGTAAACCTGCAACCCTGAAACTCCAAGGAGCTGCAGCACACTGCATGTGGAGCTTACTGCCGATGCGTTTGCTGCTGCGGCCGGCGCTTGCGGCATGGCTGCTGTTGACATCTAGTCTATTTTTAAGTAGTTTAAAGCTTTCAATAGGGGGTCAAAAGGGCATCCCAGGGGTTTCTTACAAGAATTTGGTAGGGGCCTGGCTACCGGATATTTCGTGTCACTGAAGTGCTTCTTGACAACATTCGTATCAAACACCCTCAGTCTGCTCATTCAGGCCCTCTTGGTGTCATGGGATTTGCCTTTCTGGGGTCATCGCACTTCGACGACCACACAAATATGTCCACATGAGGTTTAGGGTTTAGGGTTTAGTGTCCACATGATCACACCAGCACTTACATATAAAAGGGCGCCCTTGCCAGCAAGCACAGGGCAAGGTTTGACGTATGTTGCAAAACAGGTGTTCCACTCAATTGTTGTTACAGGGCAAGGGTGGGTTATGCGCTGGCAAAGGCCTTGTTGTAATGATAATGACATCATGACATGTAGAGCATTTCGGAGAGGGTCAACGGCAGAGGGTCCAATATAGGGGCCTGAATAATTACGTATGCTATTTGGGGGGTTCCTTGTTAGGAATATAGTAAAATGGAATAATGGCCCTACAACCCCATTCTAGTTATTACGGCCCCTATGGTAGCCTGGTCTATGTGGTAAGGAAGACGCAGAGGGCAGCGTCGACAAAGCAGGATCAACCAGTGAGCAAAAGGCGGCGAACGCCTTCCCACAGCGATTCCGAACCGCAGTTTGGAAACACTGAACCATATACAGCCCCATAGTGAACCTTTAAGGTAGCTTTACAAAGCCCTGTAGACTAAAAAGCCCGATTAAGCCCCAAAGCAAACCCTTTCGGCTTCATTGTCATGTTTGCATTTGTCCGTCCAGGTGAGAAAGCTGCGGCGAAGCTCGGCCTAGCTTGATGTAGGTTTGGGTCAGCAGTTTAGGTTTCAGGATCTGGGGTTCTGGGGGGTAGAGTCGTTGTTTTTGAGCTTTTAGGTTAGGGGATCTCTGAATGCGGTGGGGGACTTTACGGCTTGGGGTCTCGTTTTTGAGGCTTGGGACTTGTCAGGGGCTTGCACATGAAGCATACCGCTTAACCCTAACGCCTGTGCATCTGCAGGATAAAAAGGTATGCTTGACCATTTTGCTTGGCCGTGCTCAACACAAACATGGCTAGTCTAGATCATGACAGAGTCGGTTGATCTTCTGAAGTGCATACACCTTATATAAACCTAAACCCATACACACCGGCGCCCCTAATTGAACACGGGAACACTGAACCACACCTCTCCTTCGCGTCTGTTCGTGACCATGGGATCCATTTTTGTTTCTTGTTCTCAGGTCTGCAAACGCACCCGAGCTCTTGCGAGAGTCGGAGTTGTTGCGCCTTGCCTGCGGCTGCATGCTGTAAGAAGGTAGTATTACAGCGGCCTAAACGGGATCCTAGTTGGGGTCATCATACTTCTAACCCGACTGAGTAGCTACTTACGACATCCCCCGCCCCTCCTAAAATATCCAAAGAACAAGAAAAGAAAAGGTTCGCAATGTTCGCTATGTAGCTTCGTCTGGATCCGATTACCAGTGCATCCTGCTATCTAGGGTCCATACGGAAAAATGTCAAACCCTACTTCCACAACCATCAACCCCGCAGGGTCTAAACCTAACCCGGGGCTCAAGGTAGCTATACCATAAACCCGAACCTATGGCATCAAGGTTGTCACGCAATAGTTCTGGCCCATTCGAGGATTGGGGATTTAGTTTTGCTTTTGTTCATCAATCTTGTGGTGAGTATCCAAGAGAGTAGTCCATACCTTAATGTACAAAGATCCACTTGGTGGTAGGGCCCTTCTTACTCCTATATCGCGGCTCCTAATATGAACCTACAAAAAGCAGGCTAAGGTAGTTCAATGTGTGTCCTGAACCCTCAACTAGACCCTAAACTAATGAGTAGTCAGAAGTATAGTAGAAGCCCAAAAGTTGGAAACCCAATAGCCTCAATCCTTAAAAGCAATCTATAATCTATAGGCAATCTCAGCACGAATTGTCCTTAACTTCTGTGTCCAACCTTTTGGGGGCTTGCTCTAGTACAACAAGCCAGCATCCAGGTAGTCTCCTGATACCCAGCCAATGTAGTGCCAGGTCCCGAGAGTTGAAGGGTTTGAGGTTTGGGGTTTCGGGCCCAGGCAGGCCGGGTTCAGACTTTAAAGCTATATGCGCTACATGGTTGCGGGCCCTAAACCCTAAACCCCAAACGCTAAACTTTATACCCTAATCCCTACATCCTCAAACTCTTGTCTCTAGACTCTAAACCCTAACCCCTAAACCCCGAAATCCTAGGCTAAATCCTGAACCCCAAACCCTAAACTCTCAACCAAAATCCCTCCCTGACCGATCCGTCCAGGGAGCCGACATCTTAGCTGTAAGTTGCACAGCATGTCCCGAGCCTTCACATACAAAGTTGCCGGTGTAATTAGCCGAAAGGAAGTTTTAAAGGAGCCCTTCAAGGAAACCCGAGAGATCCCCTGAAGGAGCCCTTAACGAAAACCCTATAGATCCCTTAAAAGAACCCCTGTGGATCCAAGCGCGCCGATCTCAATCAGGATATTTGTTCGGACTTTTTGCAGATTCCATAGGTCTAGGCTCTAAACCTAGAAGAACAGGAGTTCAGGGGTTTAGGGCTTTAGGGGTTTTGGTTTTAGGGTTTCGAGGGTTTAGAAAGAAGGATGCCACTGGCTTGGGTCTATTGAAGGGAGAGAGAGATCCTTCTTTTCATTCTTGTTTTCGATTTCCCATGTACAGCATGTCCATTGCCGTGGAAGTGTCACTACTCAGTGGCAAGACAGCCACAGTGCAAGCACTTCTAGACGAAACGGTGGCGACTTTGACAGAAAGGGCGCAAGTCGCACTTGGAGTCGGGAAGGGGCGGCTGCTGGATTCTTCTGGAGTCGTTCTGGACGGATGCGCGAAAATCTCGGATTCTGGGGTTCAGAGCGGGGACTCACTGACCCTGAATGTAAACAGAGTTCAGTTTCAGTCCACTGATTGTTCTTTTGCTGTCATTCTTGGGGATGGATCCGTTGCGACCTGGGGTGGCGCTACTGTTGGCGGCGACAGTAGTGCTGTGCAGGCTCAGCTGAAGAATGTGCAGCACATCCAAGCCTCTTCCTCTGCTTTTGCTGCGATTCTTGGTAATGGATCCGTTGTGACTTGGGGTTTTGATGGCTATGGTGGCGACAGTAGCGCTGTGCAGCATCAGCTGAAGCATGTGCAGCAGATCCAAGCCTGTAACGGTGCTTTTGCTGCCATTCTTAGGGATGGATCCATCGTGACTTGGGGTGATGCTGCCTCTGGCGGTGACAGTAGCGCTGTGCAGGACCAGTTTAAGCATGTGCAGCAAATCCACGCAGCTGCCGGCGGTGCTTTTGCTGCCATTCTTGCCGATGGATCTGTTGTGACCTGGGGTCATGCTGACAATGGTGGCGACAGTAGTGCTGTTCGGGATCAGCTGAAGAATGTGCAGCAGATCCAAGCTTCTGTTTGCGCTTTTGCTGCTATTCTTGTCGACGGATCCGTTGTGACTTGGGGAGTTGCTGATCGTGGTGGCGACAGTAGTGCTGTGCAAGGTCAGTTGCAGAATGTGCAGCAGATCCAAGCTTCTGCAGGGGCTTTTGCTGCTATTATCGACGATGGATCTGTCGTCACCTGGGGTCAGTCTAAGCCTGGTGGCGACAGCAGTGCTGTGCAGGGCCAGTTGAAGCATGTACGTCAAATCCAAGCCTCCGATTCTTCTTTTGCCGCTATCCTTGGCGATGGATCGGTTGCAACGTGGGGTCATGCTGGCTTTGGTGGCGACAGTAGTGCTGTGCAGGGCCAGCTGAAGAACGTCCAGCAAATCCAGGGCTCTCGCGGCGCTTTTGCTGCCCTTCTTGGGGATGGATCCGTTGTCACTTGGGGTAATGCTGAGCTTGGTGGCGACAGCAGTCAAGTGCAGAATGAGCTGAGGAATGTGCAACAGATCCAAGCTTGTCGCCGCGCGTTTGCTGCCATTCTTGGGGATGGATCCATCGTTACCTGGGGTCTTTCTGGCTTCAAGGGCAAAATTAGCCTTGATCAGCTAAAGACGAATCCGTGGGCGTAGGTTTGCGCCTACTTGCATCGAGCTGGTGATTGCTGGCTGTATAGTTGCATCACCACAGCAGCGACACAACAGACTTGGCAGGCATCGAAGTGCCGACAAGGGACTTGCAACATGTGCAGAGTCCAAAGGTCAAGCAAAACAGGTGCCCCGCCACTCCGTCCGTTGTCTGGCAGGTTCTCCGTCAGCCCTTGCAACAGAACACGAAAGCCAACGCCGAAAGCCTCACAGAAAGCCAGAAAGCCGACACTTCCCAAAGCATCCTAACTACCTAAGACCTACGAGCTGCACGTCTACCTAGGATGCCCAGTAGTACCCTTATTCCCTTTTTGTAGTCCTAGGTTCCTTATAAAGTTACCCAATACCAAAAAGAGAGGCCTTTTTATTCTTAGGTTACTGGGTATCCTAGCTACTCAAGCCATCATCGCAGTTCTTTGTATATTCCTTATTATGGTTCATGCAGGATTTATATCATCAACAGTTCCTAAACCCTATAAACCCTAAACTTTGAGCCCCACCGACACCTTACTGTCGAAATCTAGGCCTAGGAGCGTTCCGTTACGGCAAAGCACAGAGCTGTCAGGTATTGCCGCAGACTTGCAGCCCTGAGCACCGACCTGGGTTTTTGTTAAGTTAGGGTTTAGGGTTTGAGGGTGTGAGGGTTTAGGGTTATAGGATTTAGGGTTCAGCGTTTAGGGCTTTAGGGTTTATAAGATTTAGGGCTGCGAAAGCAAGGAAGCCACATTATTTACCCCTACTAAGGGTCCGTGTATCACACGGATCCTTAGGTACTATGGACCCCTAGTCTGGTATCTGAAACTGTGTACTGTATAACTGCAGAAGTTCTTTAACAAGAGCCCAGAAAGTGCTCGAGTCGATTCCAAGCGACCTTCAACCCTACCTGAAGGACCAGATGACCCTTAAAAATATAGGGCCGTATACCCATATACTATGAATCCCTATATTATGGTATATGAACCCTAAACAATTTTAGGGTTCATTTCGTCCTCAAGGTACACAAAGCTGCGAACCTGACGCAGAAGAGGCCGAAATCCGATATGAAACCTGAGTAACTTAACTCCTTCAACCCCACATGACATGAAGAACACAACTCCTGAGCCCAAAGGGTCATAAGCACATACATTGTGGAATGTCGGTGTTCTATTTTCGGGCTTGATTACCATTATGCAAGTATCGCCCATGTCGGTATTTCGGACCCCCTGTTTACATATCCGTAACCCAGTAACCCATTGTACAGGTAACTGGGCTTTTCCGGGTTTCTTCTGGTTTTTGGGTCCGGTTTCGGTAATCAAAAGCACCAGCACAGCCATAGGCAGGCTCCATAGTGGTTCTTGTTTGGGATTACCTTATAGACTTCTAAGTATGAGCCCCAAAAAGGAACTACTATGGAGCCTCTAGGTAGTTTACGGTTTCGCGGTCCTGGAGTGACGGACGGGACACTGTCAGCTGTTGGGGAGCGGTCAAAAAGTGGGCAGTGCAAGCATCGTGGCCCACAGAGAAGTTAAAGCGGCTTTATGAATCCGTATTTTTGGGTTTCGGGTTTACCTTAACCCTGAAAAACCTACTTGATTAGGGCTCCTTATTATGATTTCCTTTATAGGTGCATCAAAAAAGTAGGTAATCAGCGGTTTAGGGTTTTAGGGTTATGAGTCAGGCGTTTCAACATGAGGTTACCCCAAGGGTCCAACACGTCCCCAACGTGAGTCTTGATAGGGACCCTTGCGGGGGCAAGGGGGCCGGGGGGTAGGGGACCATACTTCCTTAAATAGGCCTCATTAGTCCTTATTATAGGTCTTAAGGCCTCCTACCCCCCTCCTCGCTACCCCCCTAAGGGTCCTTATGATTCATGGATGAATTAGGGGTCCCCCGGAACTCAGTAATACACGGTTTTTGAAGGTTTCAGCAATACTAGGTTAGGATCTCTCTCCCTGCGATCGATTTGAGTTGATTTCTAACTGTTAGAGGGGCTTAGGGCTTGGAGTTTGGGTTTGCGGGTTAATGTGGAACAGCCCTGGAACATTTCATCACAACAGTCTAAACCCCGTAAACCTTCGACCGCAAATCCCAGGTTTCGTAGACAGTGGTCGGAACACTTTGTAGTACTCTCCCCTTCCAGTTCCCACACGCTCTTAAAGCCCAAACAAACTACCCCAGAACCCTATTCAAAGTGTTAGGGACCCTATATCAACCTCCGTAGCCTGCTTGAAGTAGAACTTCGACAGCCCCCCACGTGGTATTCTTCAGGGTTTTGGGTTTAGGTGGCAGAAGATTCAGGTGCCCTAGAAGTCTAGCTAGCATACGTGACTTAATATCGTTAGGCTGGTTTAGACTGGCCAGTTGGGCTATACTATGGTATACACTGATGCCACTCATGACTGTATGCTGTATACCAAAATGTTTCAGACACCGGAAGTACTTGTATGTTACGCCTTCCTCAAAAGAACACTGGACAAGCATCCAAGCTCCTGCAGGATGTATGTCTGTAGCCCTCCAGAAACCCTAAACCCTCGACCCTACTTCCCCAAAAAAATCCGACGAGTGGAGAAAGCCAAGACCGGGCAGGATACAATTCTGCAGCCCTCCATGTTTCGATGCCACCTGTTGGGTGCATGGATCAAGCCAGGCGTCTGTGGAATTCGCTTCGCGCATCCAGTTCGGGGCCAGCAAAATTCGTTAAAATGGTCTGGGGCCGTGGGTTTAGGGTTTTGAAGTTTACTGTAGGGTTTCAGGCCCTGGAGTATATAAGGGCAGAAGGGACTGTCTGAAACTTGTCAAGAGCTTCAAAGTTTCTCCTTGAAGTAATTTCGATGGAGATCGAGGTCTCTCCCAAGGAGATACTAGTACCGAGGATGATAAGGTTTGGGGTTTAGGGTTTAGGGTTCAGGATATCTCCTGTCGGATGGATATCTCGCTCCCATGCGGGGCGACGCGCTCCGAGCTGCTTCCATACAATCGCGCGATCAGCGCCTGCAAGCGAGGTCGGCCGTTGTCTGGAGGATCACATTAGCCTTAGGGGTACTTAGAAATAGTTTTTAATTTTCGGTTATTCTAATCCCTAAGAAACAGCTAAAATTGCATTTGTTGCTTGGGTTCTAAGTTCAGTATAGAAACCATGTGTGCTCCGCTAGCACGGTATCTGAAGGTTTGGGTTATGACATCTAATATTTTTTGTGTTTTTGACGGGGACTTTTGTGTAACTGCTTGCGAAGACCCCTGGCGCTTTCGCCGTCTTGAGTCGACCCAAACCCTAGAGCCCTGGAGCAAAGCCTTAACCCTAAGGGTCCAGGTGCCCATATAGAGATACATGAGCCCCAAAGGATATACCTATATAGGGACTACATTAATGCCAATGTATATACTAAATGAATACATGGGCCCTTAGGGTGAATTAAAGCCGCAACACCAAAGCCACCAAACCCTGCTCTGACTCCCTGAAGGCTTAGACACAAAAAACCCTGAAACCCCTACACTAAAGCCCTTTGAAGCCCTGAACTCTAAGCTCCTAAGCTCCTATAAACCCCAAACCCTAAACCCCAAATTCCTACTTAAAGGATCACGGGACTTAGTGACTAGGGTTGTTATTAGGGTGACTATGCTTATAACCCCAATTAATGTACTCATAACCTTACTAAGTCCGATGATCCTCCAAGTAGGTGTTCCCTCCTGGAAGCCCTAAACCCTAAACCCCTAACTAAGCCCTCAAGCCCCCCTCTTGCGCAGACAGGGCGCCAATGGCCCGGCGCTTTGAGCCTGCTTCAGTCCGTGACTTCAAGCTCGAATGGGTCGGGGGCTTTAGGGCCCAATAGTTGCGGGTTGATATAGGTGTTAAGGGTTAAGGCTTGCGGCTTCTTGGGGGTTGGGAAATTTAGGGCCGAATAGTTGCGGGTTTAAGTATTAAGCGTTAAGGCTTTGGGTTTCTTTAGGGGTTGGGGATCAGGAGTATAGGGTTTAGGGTTTAGGAAGTGGGTTTTAAGGTCTGGGGATGTTTAACTCAGCATACCCAGTATCAAAGGCATCTCATAGTCGTCATGAAGTGGCAGTTAAGGGCTACAATCAGGGGTATTGTGATTTGGAGGGGGGTGCAGGTAAAAGTCTAGAGTGCAGCTTTAGAGTTTTGCAGCTTTCGAGTTTAGCGTGCATGGTTGTTTTGGATTGAGGGGTTTAGGGTTTTAGGCTATAAATGTTTTGGATTTCAGGGTTTAGGCCGCAAGGTGTAGGGCTCAGGGTTGTGTGTTGCTTCTATCGGGTAAGGGTCCAAGCGACCAAATGGTGGAGATCTGGAGTATATTTTGTCTTATGGACCCTCGGTGTGTTGGTTTCTGTAGGGTTCAGGCGTTTATTAGGGGACAAAGGTTGGGGTTTTTGGAAGTTGTCGATGTTTAGTGCAATATCGGCTTTGAACTGGTGGGTTTAGGTGACTCAGAAAGCCGGCTCGTGCTTTATCAATTTAGAGATTTAAGGCACCCAGCGGAGTTGGGTGTGAGTTTTGGCTTTAAAGGCTTGGGATTTACGGGGTATGGGGGATAGCCTCAGAAGCTCTCTAAGCCCCATACCCGAAAGCCTAAACTCTCAGGATGTCGATCTACAATGTGTGTGTGTGTATATATATATATACATACACACATATGGTCACCCCCCACGATCCACCCCGGCCCTCTTGTAAAAGCATACATGCACCTCTCTAGTTGTTTCAGTGTTTAGGAACTTAGGGTGGGGTGTCCCAAGATTTAAATGCTGCAGTCTTTAGGGTCGAAGCCCTTGGGAGTTTACGGGCCAGAGGTTGAAGTTTTGATTTAGGGCTGAGGCGTGGCAGAGACTTCTGATCTTGTTGGCTACATAGCCTGGAGGTTAAATTAGGTACCCAAAGTTCCATTCATAATACAGCACATACTTGGGATCTAAATCACAGAGCTCTTTGTTTTGGGGGGAGGCTTGGACCTTAGCAAAACTATCCTGTTACAGTCCTTCTGAAAAACATAGCATAATCCGAAGCCTTGTTACTTGTAAAGGCCCTATCTGCATCTCTGTCTCTCTCTCTCTCTCTCACTCTCTCTCTCTCTCTCTCTCTCTCTCTCTCTCTCTCTCTTTCTCTCTAGATATGTATATACATACGTATTACATATCTACATATGTGGCCTCCTCCTAAACCCCAAGTCCTAAACCCTAGCGGCCCTAGCATACCGGTGGAGCACACAACTAAGGCGAGCTCTGCAGGCTTGCAGCCCGCCGCGCAGCTGCTTACAACCCAGGGCTAGTAAGTATGAAGTTTCAGGAACTAAGGTTTGAGGATTTGGCGGAGGCTTTAGTTCCCAGATCGTTCCAGTAAGCCCAGGACCCCTCAACCCCAAAGCACAATCCCTAACACCCCGAACTTTCGAAACCCTAAACTCTATATGACCTTAACATCCTAACCCCTACGTACCCGAAGCTCTCAGGACATCATTACCTACAACACCTCAATCAGCACATGCGAGCGAGCTGGCGAATGGCAAGCAGCATCGCCCCTTCGCCTAACGTTGTTTAGGGTCTACGGCTTAGGGTAGTCCCAAAGATCACAAGTACGACCTCATGTTTTCTCTAGGGAGCCATTGAAGCTGGAATGATTTATGTGATTCAGAGTGTTGCTTGTCGGGACCAAGAAAAGAAGCCTGCAGCAAGAATTCGTCTCCATTGTCATTTTCTTCTTGCGGTTGACCAATTTTTTGTGGTTAGCATCCTATAGTAGAAAGTTGGTTAGCCAAACAAGCAAACTGTGATGGACACTATAGGTAAAGTCCTGAAGTCTACAACCCTGCGATTAGACACCAAAGTCTCGGTCCTGAAGCACTCACGGCAGGGTTGGTATTTTGAGTTGTTGGCAAGGCGGAGGCCACATCACCTCCGGGATTCGGCTTAAACCCTACCTGAACCTACCAAAGCCTACTTTTTGCAGGTTCCTATTCTCAACCCGAACACAGAATGTATAGGGACCTTACAAGCAAGTAGGCTCTGGCCATAGTAGTTCAAGGTGAACCCTTAGCCGGAGGGAACGGGCCTGCAATAAACACCCTACGGTCCCTTCATAATGTCAGTACACTCTACCCACACGCCCTATGTAGTCTTAGTATTTGGGCCCCCGGAAAACCCTTCAACTGTAACACCCACAGCAGGTTTAGGGCTTAGGGTTTACCGATGCTTAGGGTTAAATAAACATCTGCTCTTGAATGTCGCCGAGATACCTCTTCACCGACCTCACGCAGGTGCAGCTACAAGCAGACGTGGTCACGCACCTCCGACTATCAAGAGGGACCCTACTTAGTACTGTAGAATCTTAGTAGTATAGTAAGTAGCCTTCAACCTACAGCGAGCAGTATAGCTCACTATATATATATATATATATGGTCACCTCCCCCCGTTGACAGACCATGCCCTTTCAACTCAGTCGTAGTGCATGGTCTGTGATCGGGGGAGGGGGCACTCAGCTTTCCAAAACTCAATTCCAAAATTTCCAAAACTCTCTCCCCTAACTTTCCGGATTTCCAAAATTTCCAAAACTTCCGAAATTTCTGAAATTTCCAAAATTTCCAAAACGGCCCGACCTAGTGGACAGGATTTTTCCAAAACATAAGGGCGGACTTTTTGGAAATTTTGGAAATTTCGGAAATTTCGGAAATTTTGGAAATTTTGGAAATCTTGGAAATTTTGCAAATCTCGGAAATCTCGGAAATTTTGGAAATTTTGGAATCTCTGGACCTTGGAATTGATTATCAGGAGGGCTGATTGTGACCCATCCGATGACAGACCATGCACGACTTACTTGCAACGGCAAGGGCTGTCAATACTCATGCCCATATTTAAACGAATATCTCTCTATCTATCTGTCTATCTATATATACATACATGTATTGATACTCCTGCATATAGTATTGCCATTGAAAATACTGACATTGATCATGTGTTGAATGCTCAAGCTAATACCAGCATTACTACTAATATTACACTTCTATAAAGCTTAGTACGAATATGCATAACACAAGTACTAAGATTGATTAGTATTGCTCTTAGTACTCCTACGCATATCAATAACCATATTCATATTGATAATAATGTATATTAATACCAATACTAACACACACCTGTATGTACTAATGTACATAAACATGCATACCACCATATTAAAATACAAGTCCTTTAACTCACTCATGTACTCAACTGTTAGAATTTCACGTGATCAAGAGTAATAATAATACAAACATTCTTTCGAATGTATATCATCAATAATATTATAGTACTAACGCTAACACTACTGCTAATACTTAACACAAAATTTATACAAACATCTTTATTTACATAGCTATTGATACGCCTACGAATACGAGTACATAAACTCTTGTGCGTTAGCAGTAGTGCTATCACCAACACTAATACGGACTTTGATAATCTGCTGAATATTCAAGAATGCCACTAGTATTGCCAGCATGAACACTCATATTATGGCTATTACGAGTATAAATAGTCCTATTTCTAATAATATTGACATTAATACTCCTACGAATACCAACAGTATATTCATATTGATATGAAAACTAATATCATTACTAATAGACACCTGCATATACTAATGTACATAAAATACATACCACTATCTTAAGATACAGATATATACATCAGTGCATTCATGTATTAATGCTTTGGCATAGGCATATACCCATATACCAATGTATCAATATACTTCTCGTTGTTGTATGAATATACTATACGAATATGTGACTATACTCATATACGGCTACTGCACTATGCAAGAATACCGACATGACAAGTTCGTACACTAATATGCCAACATACTGATATACTTAAAAATGATTAGATAAAACAGTAATATAGTACACGTACTCGTACACTAATATGCTAACGTACGAATATATTGGTATGTCAATATACTAGTAAGCTAATACAGCAGTATAGTAGTGTATTCATGCACCAGTTGTACTAACATGTAAAATATACTAGTATACAAGTATGCAAATATTTTACTGTTCGAATACATTGATGTATTGATATACTAGTCTGCTAATATACGAGACTATCAATATACTAACATATCAAAACTAACTAGTTCTAATATTGATACAAATACTAGCACTTCTGCGAATATAAGCTGCTGTTAAACCCAGCATTAAGACTGATACTGATACTACTCGTAGCAGTGGTGCTGTATTACCCAGAGGCTCCTAAAGCATTAGCATATGTGGTCTTAGCGTGTGGAGCCTTGCTTCTGGGTTTATCTTCATAATACCGCCCTCAAGATGTTTATACAATATATATGCTATATATATATATATATATATATAGCATATATATATATAATTATAATAGGTTTAAATATATCGATTATGTCACTTAAAACCGGCGAATTCCATGCTCTTCGGAAGAGCTAGTGCCCGGATCTACCACATTTGGGGGATTGATGCTTAGCGCTCCAGGTGATTTAATATGCACAATGGGAATCGAACCTTGATGCCGAATCCTGAATGCACGCTTTGATCGTTGTTTCTGCACAGCACATTGCAAGCGTTCCGGCAGTCGGAGTGCACCAATTATGGCAAATGAGGAAACCTAGGCTGCACACAGTACAATATACACCAGCAGTACACCGTTGATTAGACATATCATGAATTGAACAGCTGGTTTGCGATCAAGTCACTCAAATTTTCGGCACAGAGCACCAATTATGGCATTTGAGGAAACCTAGGCTGCACACACACACACACACACACACTCACTACACCAGCAGATTTGACATATCGTGAATCCAAACATCTGGTTTGCAATCAAGTCACTGGCTGTAGATTCTCTTCATCAGTGATGTCTCCAGTGTTGCCCGATGGCATCGTTTCGCGATGCCTGTATGACAAATCGGTTGTTGCCAGAATTACAAAACTGCATGTTGCATTGCAATTGCATGAAAGCAGCGCCTGCCTTTGATGACGCCCATATAGGACTCATCACGAAATGTGTGCCCATACTTCGGGTTCTGTCCTAAGTCACTTATTCCTTATCGGGGCTTTAGATAATTCCAAAAACAGTATTGTGTCTCCGAGCTGCCATCCATCGTTGCGAAATGCACAAGCTCTTGAAAAGCCTTCACTGCAACATCACAGGAAAAATCACATGGAACTCAAAACATGGATTGCTGCCTAGTGGCATGTAGTTTTGGCCTGAGTGGCCAGAGCCGCTCAGACCGCGCGGCCGTCCTGATCGAAAGATTGGCATATGCCATGCCCATAGCATCCTCAGATGTTTCCAGCAACAGCACAGAATCACCACCTAGCTGAAGTCAGTGGCACACGGAACTTTAATGCCGAGATACAACTGCTTCACAAAGGCCAGCCTTCTCAGCAGGACCCAAGTACCGACCGTATTTCTCCATCCTTTGGAAAAATTCATTCAGCCAGTACCTTAGATTGCACTGAAGCTTGATTAGCTAGCAGCTAGAATTCTGAAAAACCTCAACACGATTAGCAATTTAATTCACATAATGGCCTGCACTTCAAAATTACAAATTCTTCAAGGCGAGCTGCACAATATTGAACCCTGGATCCTATCAAAACCTAAACACACATGCTATGTTTAGATCGGCAATTTTTAAAGTTCATTCGAAGGCATGTTGCAAGCACTTCACAATCTCCTTGAACTCTTCATCTCCGTTGAGATCTTCACGTTCAGAGTACAGCTTGACCACAAAATCGGCCAGCCACCCCGTCACGACCCGGGCCTCGGGATGACAGTTTTCCGGATTTGGGCATAGCAACTAATAGAAAACGGAGCTAGCTATAGTATGGTATGCAAACGAGAATCGTTGTGAGCCTTCATAGCCATCTCCGCATATCCGGTGCTGACATCTCGAAGGTTCTTCGGATGAAATTCAGGTTGCGAATGCCTTATATGATAAACCATTTTGCACCGAGCACAAAGCACATGTACACTGAATGAATTGCGAGGCTTTGCAAACCAGACACTGGATACGCTTTTCACGAGTCCACATCATAAAATCCTCATGTGCCGCTGCCAAACGCACATTCAAGCGGAACTTAGCTGGCGTGCCATCAGGTGCTGGCCACAGATCCTTAGGTGCAAAACTCTCAGGAGCAGGATGATGAGGCATGCACACATGCATAATGCAACATAGCATCTTCCAGCTTCAGCAACGTAAGCAATGTGGAGGCCGTCGCCCACAAGCAAACTCCCAAGTTTACTGAGTGCATACTGCACCAGCGCAGGCAACTGTGGTGAAAGCCCCGAATGCCCAGGAGGTGGCCTCAGAAACAAGCCAAGAGGCCAAAGGTGTTTATTTATTGTAAACATTTCAACAATAATTAGAATCAAAACCAGGTACCATTTTAATGCTAGTGGCATCTGTGTCCCCCATACGGTTTGCAGACATTGATGAACTCTTGCAGGCTCCGACGGGGTTGAAAAGCCAATTGACTTGGAAATGATAAATAGTTGTTTTCCCTTGCCATGCAATGGTGGCATATTGCCTTGCAGTTCCATGCAGCACCCAGGCAATACAGCTCCTGAAATTTATTGCTTTGTAATTACATATACCTGTTTCTTATTGTATAATAAGCCTATTATTTAAAGCTCAACTCTCCTTCATGAACTTCCAATCCGCACGAACTTCACAAAAGTAGCCCTTCGGAAAACACAGAGCATCACCTGCTCGGATAACCTCCTCCGGATCGGTCGGAACACCCTCTGGCGTGATCTCGTCGGGCTGTATATAACGCGGAGCCACACCCAACATACAATAGTTGAAGGAAGCGGCAATCTAAGTTGCGATTCGAAATTGCATTGATCAGAGCCTGACATGAGAGCTTCTATATTCTAATGCCAGGGCACGGGGCGCATGTATGCCTGGAGTGTCGGGAAGCCAGTGCTCAAAGCCTCGGCTGTCGCATGTTTACATGAGGTGTTAAGTGCAATGCAAGGTTTCACAGTCAAGTATCATCAACCTCAGGATGCTTATGCTAGCCAATGAGGTTTGGGGTTTGGTCGGATGATTGAAATAAGATTTTATCCGGATTAAGGGATGGCGACACTATTTCCAATACAGCCTCAGTAACAGTTCGGATTGCAAAGAGCGGAAACCGCTCTTGAGTATCATCGATCAAGATATTCATAGAGAAAGCTTCAATCTTGCCTCCATTCTCAAGATATCGAAGATCATCGCCATGGACTCCGAGTGGAAGCATTCCCCGCTCTCCGAGGCAGGGCCACTGAACT